ACATCCCTAATTTTTCTACTGTACCATTCTGTCTATCATCAAGAAAGGTCTTCCCTTTGACAAATAGCTTCCAGGATTAGAATCGCCCTCATTTTTCCCTATGGCATTTGGAAACAGAGCTTAATCATGCAAGCTATGACTGCAGGGAGTATTTTCTGAAAGAAGGCCTCCTAGCAGGGAAACAGAATAGAAAGAATAGAAAGGGGATGTCAGGGAGACACTTGAGTTTGGTGCTTTGGACCAAACCATCTTTCAAGACTCATCTTAAACCCTCTTTCCTTTGACAAGACTTCCCTGACCATCCCAGACTCTATCCACCTCCCCCTGCTCTGCTCCAATTTAGGAGCTAGGGCTGTGCAATAGACTTAGCAATTAATCATACCTGCCCTTGTGTCACCTATTGTACTGTTGCCTTAAACTGATATTTCACTCTGCCCTTATAATTCATCTTTGTGCATGTACACTTTCCCCCAGCGAGATTATAAGCACCTTGAGGGCAGAGATTTTTGTCGTAAACGTATCTTAAATCCGCCCTTCCTCCCCAATACCTCGTACAATTCTGTCCACATAGTAAAGGCTCAACACATTTTTCCTAGTTTCATATAAAAGGCACTGCAAGGATTTCTGAACCAAAAATATGATAGAAATCAAATAAATTTGTTTGAGGAGCAGGTGATTTAGATGTATTTCTTATGGTAGAATGCAAAAATTCCCACAATAATTGAAAGTAATTCTTATTAAGAGGCAGAGTCTATTTCTTCCTTCCTTGAATCTGGGCTGGCCTTGTGATTTGTTTCGACCAGTTGAATGTAATGAGCATAATGGTGTGTGAGGTCTGAGCCCAGGCCTCAAGAACCCAGCAGAAGAACTGCACAGCCAAGACCAGCCCAAATCACAAACCCACAGGACCGTGAGTTAAACAAATGGTTTTTATTATAAATCACTAACTTTTGGTATGATATGTTAGGCACCAAAAGCTAACTGATGCATGGTCTTCTTTAATGATCAGGATAAGCCCATGAGATGCATGTTAGCATCCTACTTTATGAGCTAGGAAGCAAGCATTCAGGAGCAATATGATGTAGAATGATCATAATGAATGTCGTTTGGAGCTGTTGTTAGTGTCCTTTAGCAAATGTTACCTGGATGGGGAAACGTACCAGGAGGCACATGTCTCAGTAGGCACTGGTCTGTCTGATGGGGAGGGGGACAAAGGAGTGTTTGTTGGCAGGAGTCAGGAAAAGTTCAGACCATGGAGAGTTCAACAATGTGTTGAAGGAACAGGCAAGACAGAGCTTGAGGGCTCTTGGGTCCATGAGTTCAGGCTGAAACGATGTAACTAGGGAGTCTATAAAGAGGGAAATGATAATAACAGTGACAAATTCACGGAACAGTTTTCACGTGCCAGAAGCTGTGCTATGTCTCTAATCTTCACAAATGTCCTAGGTGAGGCCGAGATAAAATAAATAGGTCATAGAACTTGTAAGTAATTAAATTGCCATCGAAACGTAAATGTGTCTAGCTCCAAAGGGAACTAATTAACAGCTAAAAAAAAAAAAATGCCCTTTTCATTATATTGTCTGGTCTGTAACATCAATTTCTTCCTATCTTTCAACAAACTGAATGGGCACCTACTTGTCATTTCAGGCAAAACTCTTCAGATGTCTTGGAACAAAGCCATACAGAGCTGAAAACTCATGACTTGTCCCATATTGGGCACTAAAGGTTGGTTTCTCCAGTTTGATAAGATCAGGAGGGCCTCTCTGCAACATGCTTTTGTGATAACATTATCTGGTTTAGCAAGAGTTCTACAAATAGGGCCCCTTTGAAGGGAACTGTCCCTTCTGCTTTTGAAGTAGGGTGACCACAGCCCTCGAGCAGAGAACTTCAGATATCCTCGGGCAGTGGTTTCATCTAGACTGAACTAGTTACAAACCCTTCCATTTATCTAATAGTTTATGCACCGTGTACACATGTATCTTGCTGAATTGAGTAGCACGGCTTTGTGGGATTCACTGGGCAGCATATGCGATTCCCGTTTTATAAACTGAGAAAACTGAGACTCAGAAGTTAACAGACATGCTCAAGGTCATGAAGTTAATTTGTGGTTGAGCTAGGACTGGCCTTGGTCTGTTTGACTCCTCCTATGCTCCTGACTGAGTCAACACAAAAGCATTCCCTATGTATGAGGCATGGGGAGTACAGAGATGTTTTAGGCTGGGCTCCTACACCCAATAACAGCAAATGCCTACTCTAAATGCTTTACTTTGATTAACTAATTTAATTCTTATAACAACCCTACTAGGGAGTACACTTTTTACTCTCGTTTCGTGCATGGGGTTCACATACAAGTGGTCTAGATGGGGAGGCTTTTGACTTAGCCACAGCACTACACTGCCTCTATGCTCAGGGAGGCTACTGGGGAGATGCTGAATAACAAGGAGGCCTATGACAGCCCCATAACAGCAGGCCATCCCTGTTGGGTTCAAATACTTGGCCCAGTGCTTAAAGCTGTTTGGCCTTGGATAAGTTATTTTTGTGTGTGTGTATCAGTTTTTCATCTGTAAAATGAGATTTTGATATTGCTCACTTCATAGAGAGGTATTATGAGAATGTAACAATTATGTATGTATGTATATGTGTGTATGTGCATGCATATGTTCAAGTGTGTCTGTGTGTGTATGTGTGTGTGTGTGTGTGTGTGTGTGTGTGTGTGTGTGTATGTGTGTAGATAAGAATAATCCCTGGTCCTTCCATTAGTATGATTTGAGTATTTGCTATCATCATCATTACAAGGCCGTGAAGTGGACTAATTTTCAGGCACATAGCATAGACAAGAGTTACAGGTTCTGAGAAGAGGGAGAATTTATTGTCAGCAGGAATGCTCAGGACAGGCTTCAATGAGGAGGTAAGATGTAAAGTGGATCTCAAAGGATAGAATCACAGACTTGGGAGTTGAAGGGACTTTAACATTCATGCAATCATATGACTTTAACTCAAAGAAGAAATCTAGGACCACAAGAGAGAAGTGATTATGCTGCGTTTGTTTATCCAGCTAGTTGGGGTCAGGACCTTGACTGGAACCCTGGTCTCCTCCAAACCATGCCTGTCTGAATTTTCCTAGGCTAGATAAATTAGAAACCCTGGTGCTTCCTCTTGCACTCCTCACTTCAGTCTGAGGGCCCTTTACCACCTTTCCTCTGCCATCCCTTTGGGAGAGATGCAACTGAGCAATGAATCTGACAGTGATAGGAAAGACCATCTCCAGAAGCAAGCGACTTGATAATCTACAAACAGTTTCTGGGTAAAAACCGTGAATGTGTATTGAGCACCTACTATCAGGTGCTTACTAAATTTTCTCAGTCTACACAGTATTTCATTCTTTGTATAGATAAAAAACCCAAAGTCTTAATTTTGTAGTATCTTAGTTTTGGTAAATTTCCCAAGATCTCACAAAAAGAAAATGTTTTGAGCCAGGATCTGAAAAATGGTCTTTAAGATTCTTCCATCCACCCACCCATCCATCTACCCACCCATCCATGCACACACCCATGCATGCACACACCCATGCATGCACCCATCATCCATCTATGTTCATTCATCTTTCCATCCAGGAAACCTTTACTGAGAGTGTGTTCCATGTAAGGCAGTGTGCTAGGTGGCATGGAGCTAAGGAGACACATAAGTCCCCTGTCCTCACAGAGCTGAGTGTGGCCCTCCTCAGGGAATGCTGTTGGGATAGTGTTAGGGAGGAGGGTGATGAGGAAATGGTTTCTGTGGAGACTTGGCACTTGGGAAGGCCATGACAAGAGGATCAGCGGGTTGCTCCCCTACTCCTGCTTCTAAGGTTGCAGATGAGTGCCCAGCTGGCCAGCTAGCCATTGGCATCGTCTGCCTCTTTGTGTAAAAACTAGTGGAATCATATGTGCTGCTCCCAGATGCAGCCTCGGCACCAGCACCTTCCAAGCAGGAGGTTCTGTCATGGTGCTGCCTGCCAAGCCTTGTCCAGAGGACTGAGGCCACTTGGCCAGTTGCACTGGGCCCTGTGCCTGTGCAGGGACTGTCTCGCCACAGTGGCTGGGGGCGGCAGGGAAGGGCAAGAGCTGTGTGTGTGTGTGTGTGTGTGTGTGTGTGTGTGTGTGTGTGTGTGTTTAAGCTGGAAAGAAGCCCTTTTTTACTGCGCTCTGTACTTGAGATATTTGGCTGGATGGGAGACAAAGAGGCTTTGTGTGCGCTTCAAAGTGCTCTCTGCTGACTGCGATACACATCCAGGGAAAACCCAGACCAAAGCCATGAAGTCGCCCCAAGTTCAAACCCAAAATGCAATTTGCAGGGGTTAGAAATGACAAAAGGATGGGTGGAAGGATCCAGAGAAAAAAACCCAGTGAAACCCAACGGACCTTAAATAGAGCTGAGGGCACCCATTTTCCTATTTTGGGTGAAATCTTTAAGAGCATCTTTTGAGATTCTTCACAGAAAAATTGTCAGAGCCTATATTCCAACGCCTGCCTGGCAAAGGTAAGGCCCACTTTAATTTTCTTTGAAGGTAATTGTTGTTTTTATTCTTGGGGTCTCTGTTAGGGAGAGGAGCAGGGAGGTTGTCTGTCAGATGGTGTTCTTTCCTTGTTAAGCTTTACCTGTTCTTAAGAGCAACTTGCACTCTGTCAGCCACAGAACAGTGCCTGCCGTTCAGGCCAGTGTTTTAGATATAATTGAATTGCTGGGACACGTTAAACATCACAGGGTTTTTAGCGGAGAAATAATTTAATGATGTGGCCTTTAGGATTGTTAATTAGCACTGTCTGTATGAACATGTAACAATAACACCACCTACCGTAAAAGCGAATGTTCTACACTTCAGAACACTCATTTCTTTAGGGCTTCCCGCAGAGAAGCAGTCATTAACTCTTTTTTTGACAAATGCTTTTAGACATGCTCTGTAAGGCCATGAATTTACCCTTCCCTCCAATCCTGAATCCTTCTCTGCATTTATCCACGAGGCAAGCTGGCAAACAAGGAAACAAGGAGAACTGTGTGCTCAGCCCTCCACAGTGGCATGGATTATGAGGAGGTGATGGTCCTTCCCTGCCAAGCTCCTGAGACACTGTCACTCCAGAATCCAAAAAAGAGATTCAGGCAGGGATGTGGGAAAATTGGAACCCTGCACGCTGTTGTTAGGAATGCCAAATGGTGCAGCTGCTATGGAAAACAGTACGGAGGTTCCTCAAAAAATTAAAAATAGAATTACCATACGATCCAGCGATCCCACAGGGTATTTATCCAAAATAACTGAAATGAGGATCTTGAAGAGATATTAGCACACCCATGTTCACTGCAGCACTATTCACAATAGCCGAGATGTAGAAACAAACTAAATCTCCAACAACAGATGAATGGATAAAGAAAATGTGGCAAACATGCGCGCGCGCGCGCACACACACACACACACACACACACACCCCAGATTATTACTTAGCCTTAAAAAAGAAACTCTAAAATATGTGACAACATGGATGAATCTTGTGGACTTTATACTAAATGAAATAAACCAATCAGAGAAAGACAAAACTGCATGATTCCACTTATGTGAGGTATCTAAAATTACCAAATTCGTAGCATCAAAGAGTGGAATGGTGGTTGCCAGGAGCTAGGTGAAGTGGGAAATGAGCAGTTGTGAATCAATGGGCATGTGGTTTTAGTTAAGCAAGATGAATGAGTTGTAGAGATCTGCTGTACAACACTTTACCTACGGTCAATCATACTGTATTGTGCACTTAAAATTTTGCTAAGAAGGTGGCCCTCATGTTAAGTGTTCTTACAAAGCTGAAAAAGAAAGAAGTAATGGGATTGGCGCACTGGAGGAGGGGCTGTTGGCTTGCATCCTGCCTGCCCCGCTGAAGGGGCTGGTTTCTCTGCCGGAGTCCAGGTGGGTCTGTCTGAACCATGGGTCTGGAGGAGGCCTGCATAGGTAGCATGCCACAGGTTTCTCTGGCTTCTTGAGAACAGAGCCTGATGATGGTGAAGAAATGAGAGCTTCCCATTTCTTCTTCTATTTACATTGGAACAGCCAAGTGCTTCTTCAACCATCCACCATTCCCTTATGTCGTATGTCTTCTGAAGACACTTTACTGCTTCAGTGAGACAAGATCAGCAGCGTGAAGGCGTTTGAACACTAGATCGTGCCTTGTTCTTCAGCCAGCCAAACTTTTCCCTGGTCACATTCTAGGCCTTGATATCTCCAGTGAAAATCCAGCTGTGGAAACTGCGCCTTCCAACACCTCGCTCTCTGGCCACAGCTGCCTGTCCTGCTACCTCTCCTTACCCTCTCCTCTCACAGCCTCATCTGGTCTCTGGTCCAGAGATGGCAAATGCCTGGTGTGATTGCTGCCACTCTTCCCAGCTCATGAGAACCTCACAGACTGATCATGCCATGCTCTTCCATTAAGCCCAGAGGTTGCTTTGGAATCCTCAGCACACGTGCCATCAACTGGAGTTGACGTGTGAGATGAAAATGATCTGCCATTCCAGCTCCAATTCCTTGACTCACTTTCTGTCAGCCCATCAGGCAGGTCAGACCGCACATACTTGCATGTGAACTCTTTATGGCACCCTCCCCTTCCCTTGTACACGCACATGCTGTGTCTGTCCAGCGTTGTGTTCTCTCTACTTTCATGCACAGAGCACCAAGCACTGTTGGAGTATTTTACCTTATGATGTGTATTTACCTTTAATGCCACAAAAAACCTGTGGTTTCTACTTTGGAAATGTCTTTTATTTGTTCTTGATTAGTATCTTCTTGCATTTCCCAAAGAAGCCTTCCAGAGCCTATCCTGCCTTTTAGTCCCCCAAACCTTCCCTCCTTGTCTGTCAACCTCACCTCTTATTTCCCTGAGAAGACTGGCAGAGGCTCCCTGTGCCTCTGCCCCTGCCTCATCCCCCACCCTCTGCCCACATGCACCCTGTCTCTCCCTTTCAGAATCTTTGTAATCTTTCTGCCTAGAGTGCTGTGGCCTCCGTCTGCTCCCGAGATGTTCCCTTTTCTTCCACGCTCAGCAAAGGGTCATTTCCTTGACAAAATCTTCCTTTGCTAACTGACCTTCAACCCAGGCAGTCTGGGAAGTTCCCTCCTCTCTCTTCCCTCTGTATATTAATGTATTAATCCCAGGAAATTGTCATCTATCTCTTTTCTAGCCTACTTTTCATCCCTGACTCTAACAGTATCTGGAATAGGGCAATGATTCAAGTTGTATTTATTGAGTGACTGAATGAATGCATTGAGAAATTGAGGCAGAGAATAGATTTGGCCCATCTCCTGGAATTGGTCATCCTCGCATCCTTCCTGTTAAATTTCACTACCTGCACTTCTCTTTTTAAAAAAGGATCTAGAAATAGAAATTCCATTTGACCCAGCAATTCCTTTACTGGGTATATACCCAAAGGACTATAAATCATTCTATTATAAAGACACATGCACATGCATGTTCGTCGCACTGTTTACAATAGCAAAGACCTGGAACCAACCCAAATGCCCATCTATGATAGACTGGACAGGGAAAATGTGGCACATATACACCATGGAATACTATGCTGCCATAAAAAACGATGAGTTTGTGTCCTTTGTAGGGACATGGATGAACCTGGAAACCATCATTCTCAGCAAACTGACACAAGAACAGAAAATCAAACACCACATGTTCTTACTCATAGGTGGGAGTTGAACAATGAGAACACTTGGACACAAATAGGGGAGCATCACACACTGCGGTCTGTTGAGGGGGGCTATGGGAGGGATAGTGGGAGGGAGGGTGAGGGAGGGATAACATGGGAAGAAATGTCAGGTATAGGTGATGGGGGTATGGTGTCAACAAACCACCTTGCTATGAATGTACCTATAGCAATCTTGCATGATCTGCACATGTACCCCAGAATCTAAAGTACAATAAATAAATTAAAAATAAAAATTAAAAAATGATATTTATCATTTTCTATCATTCATGTTACTTATCTATATGCACATCTTATCATTCCTACCACACTGCAGCTTCCTTGAGAGAGTTATCTAGATCAAAATCAACTATATGTCTCTCAAAACATAGTCACACATGTTGTTTTATTAATATAAGTTGGATGAATGATTCTTAAGTTGTCCTTTTATTACTTAGAATAAGGGCCCAATGCAGGCTTACTGAATTAAATGGAATTTAATCCTTTGTCACAGATATGCTGATGTGGTTTGCTGTGTCCCTACCCAAATCTCATCTTGAATTGTAGTTCCCATAATACCCACATGGAGGTTGTGGGAGGGACCCAGTGAGATGTGATTGAATCTTGGGGGTAGTTAGCCACATGCTGCTGTTCTCATTATAGTGAGTGAGTTCTCATGAGATCTAGTGATTTTATAAGGGGCTTTCCCCCATTTTGCTCTACACTTCCCCTTCCTGCCATCACGTGAAGAAGATGTGCTTGCTTCTCCTTCCACCATGCTTGTAAGTTTCTTGAGGCCTGCCCAGCCATGCAGAACTATGAGTCAATGAAACCTCTTTCATTTATAAATTACCCAGTCTCAGGTAGTCCTTTATAATAGCCTGAGAATGGACTAATACAGTATATTGATACTGGGTATGGGGTGTTGCTGTAAAGATACTTGAAAATGTGGAGGTGACTTTAGAACTGGGTAACAGGCAGATGGTGGAACCATCTGAAGGACTCAGAAGAAGACAGGAAGATGTGGGAAAGTTTGGAACTTCATAAAGACTCGTTGAATGGCTTTGACCAAATTGCTGATAGTGGTACGGACAATGAAGTCCAGGTTGAGGTGGTCTCAGATGGAGATGAGGAACTTCTTGAGAACTTGAACAAAAGTGATTCTTGCTATCCTATAGCAAAGAGACTGGTGGCATTTTGCCTCTGCCCTAGAGAGCTGTAAAACATTGAATCTGAGAGAGACAATTTAAGGTATCTGGTGAAAGAACCCTAATCCTAAGCAAGGTGTTCAAGACGTGATTTGGGGCTGGGGATGGTAGCTCATGCCTGTAATCCTAGTACTTTGGGGGGATTACTTGAGGTCAGGAGTTCTGAGACCAGCCTGGCCAACACAGTGAAACCCTGTCTCTACTAAAAATATAAAAATTATCTGGGTGTGGTGCTGCATATCTGTAATCCCAGCTACTCAGGAAGCTGAGGCAGGAGAATGGCTTGAACCTGGGAGGGAGAGGCTGCAGCGAGCCGAGACCATGCTACTGTACCCTGGCCTGGGTGACAAAGTAAGACTCAAAAAAAATAAGATAAATACAATCAATCAATCAATAAATGGTGTGACATGGGTGCTGTTAAAAGCATTCAGTTTTATGTATTCATAAATATATTGTTTGGAAATTGAACTTATATTTGAAAGGGAAGCAGAGCATAAAAGTTTGGAAAATTTGCAGGCTGACAATGTGCTAGAAAAGATTTTCTGAGGAGAAATTAAAGCCAGCTGCAAAAATTTGCATAGGTGATAAGGAGCCAAATATTAATTGCCAAAACAATGGGAAAAATGTCTCTAGGACATGTCAGAGACCTTCAAAACAGTCCCTCCCATCACAGACCAGGAAGCCTAGGAGAAAAAAAATGGTTTTGTGGGCCAAGCCCAGGGACTTGCTGCTTTGTGTGGTCTTGGGACTTGATGATATGCATCCCAGCCATGGCCAAAAGGGGTCAAGGTACATCTGGGGCTGTGACTTCAGAGGGTGCAAGCTTCTAACCTCAGCAGTTTCCATATGGTGTTGAGCCTGTGGGTGCACAGATGTCAAGAATTGAGGTTTGGGAACTACTCCCCAGAATTCAGAGGATGTATGGAAATGCCTTGTTGTCCAGGCAGAAGTTTGCTGCAGGGACGGAACCCTTAGGGAGAACCTCTGCTAGGGCAGTGTGGAAGGGAAATGTGGGGTTGGAGCCTTCACACAGAGTCCCTACTGGGGCACTTCCTAGTGGAGCTGTGAGAAGAGGGCCACTGTCCTACAGACCCCAGAATGGTACATCCAACAACAGCTTGTACCATGCACCTGGAAAAGCTTAAGACATTCACTGCTAGCCCATGAAGGAAGCTGGGAGGGGTGCTGTACCCTGAAAAGCCACAAGGGCAGAGTTGCCCAAGAGCATGCGAGCCCACCTCTTGCATCAGTGTGACCTCGATGTGAGACATGGAGTCAAAGGAGACCATTTTGGAACTTTAAGATTTGAT